CTAAGTACACACCCATCCTTCCTCTCTTCAGCTCTCCCTCTTCTTCTTCTTCTTCATCACCTTTTTCGCCGCACTTGTTCTTACTTTGATCCCTCCTGCTGAGAGCCGCGGCCTACCTGACACACACATGCACACACACGAAGAACACCCCCCCCCGTTGGTGGCACTGAATTATTGAATAGTGAGCAACACGGACGCACGCAGAACACACACCAGGGGAGGGTAATAAGACACCGAGGAGGGCCTCATGTGCATGCCTGCCTGCACACACACACACACACACACACACACAAGCTAATACTGGCGATATTAATCCAGTATTAGGGGACAGGCTATGGTAAGTCACACACTGAGACGCAGAGCAGAAGTGAGTGTATGTGACCCTGTGTGAGGAGACAGAATATGACGGGTCAGTGTCACATCTGTGACATCACATCCTGTCAGTACAGATGCAGCTCAGAAACACTGACGCAGAAACGTTCAACACTGCAGTAACGCTCAGACTAGTCTCAAGCTTCGGTTTTCCCACACGTGCTGCTGCGACTGAACACAACGCTGCTGCTGGTGACATTGACTTGTTCACCCTGCCATCAGCTGAACTCTGTATTTCTGCTGATGCATCAGGTTCAAAGATCCGTCAGCCGCTCTGGTTAATGTGTGGCAGCAACATGGCCGACTCGGATCATTGAGTCCTGTGCCATTCTGCGCCCTAAGTGTGTGTCTTTCCAAATTCCAGGTGTGTTCGGAGTGACAAACAGCAGCCGGCCAGACTCCTTCTGTCATTACACAACATGACTGAACTTCCTTCTGTTCAGGGGGAAGTTTTTCCTAATCCCTGCGCAGTTAATCCCAATCTGAATCCGCCCCCGAGTGTCCCCCTCCGGGCCGCCGTCCAAACAGACGCAGCTCACTCCTCACAGCAGGGGAGGCAGAGGGGCCAGACGAGACGCTTACAGTGGGACTGGCTGTCAGGGATTTAGAGGGGGGGGGTGTCGACCTGCATTCTGCTGCTGTTTGAAAGAGGAGAGTGGAGATGGAGCAAGGGAGGAGAGGAGGAAGAGAACCAAATTCCGAACACGGAGCTGGAGAGTAAAAGCCTCCAACTACAAACAGGGTGTAACAGTGACACCGCTACTGCCGCCGAGAGGCTGAGATTCCTGCGGTCTGTTGAAGCCTCGCTGTCATCCACAAGAATATCCCCCCCGCCCCCCGGGAATATTGCAGAACATGCCAAAAAGGATGAACCACTGACTCATTATAAGCTCACTTTATGAGCACCACAGTGATCCTATGTCATTGAACACACACCACATGAGGCAGAGCAGACCACATGAAAAGCACAGGGACAATGTGGGAATAGGAGAGATGAAAAAGAAATGCTCAGAGGGTCACTGAACCTGCCATCAATTCATTATGGAATACTGAACATATTAGCACCTTCATAGGCATTTTGTATGAGGAATTTTGTAGGAATACTATAGCAATGATGTGTAAATATGAGTCCTATTAGAAACATTACAAATAGGTTACACCGGATGTAATATGGCAGTGATTCACAACCAGGGGGTAACATAAAAAAGCCTAAATTACGCCTTTATTAGGACATACACACTCCTACTGAGTCAGCTGTACCTGAACACAACGTGTTGCGATTGAGTGTGTGTGGAAAGCAGCCAGGATAAATGCTTACAGTTAGCTAAAAGTAAGGGATAAACAGTTGACAGCTAACGCGGGTAAACGGTCCAAATAGCTGAAAGTAATGAATGTACAGTTCGAGTATTTAGCTCAAAGTTCATGTTGAAAGTTTCAGTGTCAATATAATATCAGTGGAGGGCTGTAATATTGGCAATAAGCGCCTTTAAGGTCAGTGTAAACTCACTACGGAGCCCCACATGTACACGGTGGGAGTATTACTGTGGAAATATCACGGAGATATCAGAGGGGAAGTTAGCCAACTCACGTGCCGAGGACTTCTTTAAAATCAAAAATCTTCTTGATGTCGTCGACTTGTTTCTTCCACGCCTCTCCTCTGCCGGTGTCTCCGTTCTCCCGAGCCATGGCGCTGCTTTACCGGCCCGAGTCCGACCGACACTGGGCTGCGGGAGGAGGGATGTGAGGAGAGGAGAGGAGAGGAGAGGGGAGGGGAGGGGAGGAGGGGGGGGAGAAAATAAAATAAAATAAAAAAAAAACGGAGAATTTAGAAAAAAAAAAAAAAAAAAAAGAAAGAAGAAGAATGGAGCCGAGCTGATTGTGAGAGGTTTGGAGAGTCCCGGTGGTCTGTGCTCCGCTGCTGCAGGACCATGTGAGTCCTCCTGCAGGTTACCGTGTCCCTGCCTCCTCTTCTTCTCTCGCTCCCTCCTCCTCCTCCCTCTCCTCCCTCTCC